ATTGTAGTTCTCCCCTTAGAGCAAGACCAACAAACCCAGAGCTGCTCTTTCCCTTTCAAATATAAACAGGTCAACCCAGGAGAACATCAGGGTACTTGTGCCTGGCAGGGGATAAGCTACATTAGATGGGTGACTGGTTGCTCAACAGCTTTCAGCTTTCGTGACAGTTTGTCTTGCAGGACTGAACTTAATTCAGATATGGGCCTGTGGGAGTGGTGTGGTGTGCAGTCTGCTGAAGAGATCATGTTGAAGTCATTCTAGAAGATGTTTTCTCCCCACTGGACTGGCACAAGCATAGTCCTCCTCAGCACTCCTTCAGCAGCCTGACTGAGAGGTATTCCAACATATGTTAAATCTGAAGAAATACTGGAGTGAATCCTAATCAAAAGCACTTTATTTTGCCAGGTAATGTAGACACATACAAGGAATTAGTCTTGGTGAGTCACACATATATGACATAAAACACACTAAACAGACCAGACAGCACATAGACCGGTAACAAGTGTTTAGCAAAGGGAATATTAAAATAAAAATATAATAAATAGAATAAAGAATAATGAATAATAAAGAGCCATGGAGGGGACCTAAAGAGTTGTGTGAGTATCTGTACATATGCAGATAAGAATATCTATACATATGCAGGTCTGAGTGCATATATATTCTAAAAAAAATAGTGTGGAAAAACTGTGCTTCTTCACACAACCAATGACAATTACATAATGGCTATAAACTATTTTCTTAAATGGGCACAACAGTTATACTTTTATTAGGCCTCATCAGAAAATACATCAGTCATATAACATGTAAACGTCAGTTATGTAATTTTAATTAATAATTGTAAATTATAAATTAAGGCAAACATATTACTTGTGAGCTTGTTAAAGTGCAAAACTTTAGAATCTTCCCTTTTAAAAAAGCAATATTAATGTTTTGATGATGCCCTGTATCCTCTTAAAAATAAAGACACCAATAAAGTATTGTTTGTGCAATGCTGTTGAGCTGAAGTTCCCCAACTTTGTACGGTTCTGTACTCCTTCAGATATTAAATCTAATGCCGCATACTCCTCTCATACACATGTACATACTGTTATGATGAATATGTAAGACATTTAGCTTTGTAAGTTCAGTCCCCCTTTATGATGTGATGACACTTTACACCAATTATACTGAATAATTAATGTTACTTATAAGTGTTATTTATGAGGGTTTTAACATGCCCACAGCTCAAAACTGAAAACACTAAAGTGCTTATCACAGCAGCTACAAACTAAAACCTCACTACATCTACAAAGTAAACAGTGTCTGTGAAAGTGAAACTAACTCAAGGACACAATGAACAAGGAGTATACAGGCCTTTTGCTATGAACTTTGTTACTTTTTAAATGATAATTTAAATTATCTTTGTATTTTATGATATGTGAAGTACTTTGAATGACAATAACTCAACATTCCTTGCCTTGATTTGCCTTAACATTTACGAAATAATACTCATTTCATTCACACCAACAATAGTGCAGATAAATTAATAAAAAAAAATAAAAATAAATGCGTTTGTGAAGTTAGTGTCACGTCACGCAGAAAGAACTGGAGTGAAATGCCTTGTTCAAATACAGCGCCTCATACAAATAACTGCAAAGTACCTATTACAGCACAGGTTTATTATGTGCTGGATGTTATAAGGATCCCACTTACTCATCACTGGTGCATGTACACCAGAGCACAGTGCTGTCCAGAAAGGTAGAATTGGCCTTAAATTCAGTATTATAAGATTTGCTTGTAGTACTTTCAGCAAGGATGTCTTGTTCAGGAGTTGGTGAGTAGAGTGCAGAGTTGTTTGTGGTGTCTGTATCGGGAAATCACATCATTTACCACAATGTGGAGACCACTGCTGTTTACCTTAAAAAGGTCAGTAACACTTTACAATACTGTTTCGTAGTTAATAAGTAACTAAGCAGGAATTAAGCTGGAACGAATGAGTAGTGCTGCATTAACACCCAAGTAAGTACTCTTAACTACCAAGAACTACTAGTTAACTACTACTACTAGTAGTAGTTAACTACTCAGTAGGTAGTAGTGAACTAATGATTAGTGTAGTTCACTATGAACTAAACTCACAGAGATTTACTTAGTAACTATGGTTTCTAAGAATAACTACTCAAAATTACCAATCAAATCAACATCAGTTGCTAAATAGCTGAGTTTTACAAGGTCCCTGGTGAACTGCTAACTGATGTATTGTATTCCAACACTTCTAACAGTAGTGAAATACACTACACAGTGTTCAGTCTCTACAATATAATGGATTATTTCCTCCATTTCTATTCACAGAAACAGAGAAGGCTGGGGCATCACACCACACTGTACTGACTGGTGTCCCTCACATGCTTGTTTTGATCAGAAACCTTAAAAGACTAATGCACATCTTCATATTTGGCAGTGTGAACCAATTTGCACATCAGCCTACAAATGGGACAACTGCTAAAATACTAGAGTATTCAGTAGACCAGTCTGCTTACCTCTTGTCTTTAGAAAAGAAACACCATTCTTTTCTGCAGGAGCACATGTGCCAGTGTTTCTTCTGAACAGCAGTTCTCCTTTAAAGTCCTCTTGAGGGCAGGGTCAGTTGAAGAGAGGGCTCACTGAAATATCTGACTGTATATGAGCATCCCTTCAAAGTCCCTAGGTTCTAAATATTACTAAGTGATTATGTAATTACTGTCACTTAGATAATGAGGTGTTGCTGTTCTTCATTAGGCACTAATGATATGAAACACATGGTAACTTATTGTTAATGAACTAGGAGTTAATGATGATCAGGAGCAATATAAAGTGAAACATATGGTAAACCATTAATGAGCAAGGTGTTACTGTGTTCTTCATTAGGAGTTAATGATGATCAGGAACAGTATTATGAAGTGAAACACAGGGTAACTCACTATTAATGAACTATGAGTTAATGATGATCTGGAACAGTATTATAAAGTAAAACACATGGTAACTAATTATTAATTAGGAGTTAATGATGATCTGGAACAGTATTATAAAGTGAAACACATGGTAGCTCATCATTAATTAACTGGGAGTTAATGATGATCAGGAACAGTATTATAATGTGAAACACATGGTAACTCACTATTAATGAACTAGGAGTTAGTGATGATCTGGAACAGTATTATAAAGTGATATACATTAGAAATAAAACCCCCTAAAGAAATGATGTACTGTAGTACAAAAAATATTAATAAAGAAATTCTGAAAAAAAGTAAGAGTAAATAAGTTGTTTATTGAGTCCTTTTTTATTTGTGAACAGTCCAAATGTGAAAACATCCCTGAGTTAGCTAGCCATATCACTGAAAATAATACACCCAAACAAAATGAAATCAAAATCTGTCATTACTACTGAGGGAGAAAGTCTGAGACCTGAGGCTGATCACAGCATGTTCTGCTAGTACATTAATTACACATATTTCTGTTTCATATCTGAGGCACAAAGTTTTACTGCCTGTTAGCTTAGCTCACATTAGCTAAATTGACTACCTAGCTAGCATGCACTCATAACAGAACATCAGCAGCAGCTGTAGGTTTAATAAAGCACTAACATGTGCTTATAATTCTGAAACAACACTGTAAAACAGACATTGTATAAGAAGACCGAACCTACTTAGCTCAGAATAGTTAAAATCAGATGTGTGTGTGTGTGAAGAATCTTTATAAAATTTAATGGAAATGTCCTAGGAAGAACCTTAGATTCATAAAGAACCTTTATATTATATGAATGCTTTTTAGCCTTTAAAATATTCTTCACATTTGCAAATCTCATCTTTAAACATGGTTCTTAATGGAACCAAAAGTGGTTCTTCTATGGCCCATGTGTCAAACACAAGGCCCGCGGGCCAAATCAGGCCTGCCACACAATCCGATCCAGCCCACAAAAGTATTTTAGTTTTCTATTAATATTAGCCTGTTTCACAATGTGCTGCACTACAGTCCCCAGCATGCACTGCAACGTAATGTGCTCTGACTCTGCTACTCCAGCAACAGACTATGGGACAGCGGTTACACCTCAATTCCACACCATTCTGCACAATTCCACACCAGTCATATCACCAAAATGCATGTCAGCGGCAGTTCAATCAATATAAACACTGAATGTCAGCTCAGCAGCTCAGAAACTGAGCCCAAGTCTTAATGAACCTTCAGCAAAGAAAGGATGTCTAGTTCAAGCAAATGGGTAGATTTAAAAGACTGAGCACCTGGGGACATCTAAATACTGAATATTTCAAGTGTTGTAATATTTGTAAAATGTAATATTTCAGGGTCTACTACATGTTTTTGCATATTTTAACAATGACCAGTTTGGGTTACAGCACAACATTAATTAAAAGTGAAATAAAAGCATTTTGTTTCTCTGGCCCACGGTTTCAATGAGATTTCTCAATATGGTCCTTTTACTGGTTGAGTTTGACACCACTGTTCTATGGCATCAATCGAAGAACCTTTGTGGCAGTTTTTTTTTCTTCAAAGAGTGTAGTTCTTTAGATTGAAGTGAACTGTTTAAGATATTGGCAGAAATTAGGTACTTGAAACAGACACCTTTGTGTAAATAAATGAAACATTAATTAACACAGAATCTTTAAGATCCAAATAAAATAACAGTATACATGAGTGTATAGCAGAGGTGTAATCTAAATCACTGTATATCTTAAACTGTAGCTCTGTCATAAACCTTGTTTTTATGGTCTTAATGTCACACAGTGCTTTTTAGTTTATTTTGTTAGCCAGTTAATAATAGACGACAAAAGGTGAGGACAAATAGGATGATTAATTTTTCTTTATACATATGCTGCAGTACTTTGTATACTGACAAGTGTGTTTTAGTTGAGGGGGTCCCAAGTTCTCAAAAAACTGGCTCAGGAGGAAAAAGTCTTGTCAAAGATCTATTTACTTTATGTGGAATTTCAGGATAGTGTACCAGCCAAGAATCGGACATGAGAAGCTGCAGTTCCTGAGTGCAGGTCTTTGCACTCTGTGAAGATTTTATTGAACTGCATTTTGTGTAGTTGTCTTGGTGAGTCTGACATTTCATAGGGTCTCGATTATGAGCTGCAATGGAAAATGAAAGTCTGTGATTAGTCATACAGAAAAATGTGTGATACTCATTGGGGGCATTTTCATCACTGACAAATCTGACTCTCACAAGTGTGATGAAAACAAGTAACATAAAATGAATAGCGATGCACCAGAAAGAAAATTCTTGGATGAAACCAAAACCAAAATCCAGAACACACCGAAAAAAGCTGACAATGAGTAACCAGAAGGAAAAGAAGGGAAAGAGTAGAACAAGTTGCCTTGACAAAGTCATTGCTGTGGTATCCCAGATGTTTGCTAATATCTATGTGTATACATCAACTGGCCACCTCCTTGTTTTTAAACTCACTGTCCATTTTATCAGCTCCACTGACCATATAGGAGAACTTTGTAGTTCTACAGTTACAGACTGTAGTCCATCTGTTTATCTGCATACTTTACCCTGTGGATGACCAACACAAACTGTGCAGCAGCAGATGAGCTATCATCTCTGACCTTACATCTACAAGGTGGACCAACAAGGTAGGGGTGTCTAATAGAGTGGACAGTGAGTGAACGTTGTGTTTAAAAACTCCAGCAGCATGAATGATCCACCAACCAAATAATACTTGCTCTGTGATGGTCATGCGGGGGTCCTCACCGTTGAAGAACTTTTATTTTACTAAAAAAACTGTTTTTGAATGAACGCTTTACATGTCCTGTATAGATCTGCAAGTTTTGTGGTTCTAGCTAAAAAACTGTGAGCTGTGGAAAATAAAGCATAGAGTAATAAAGCAAAAAACAGTAAACTGGCTTTGTTAAACATACTTAATGAACAGTACAGTTGATTACCATATAGATTACAGTTTGTGCCACAAAGTCCAATGTTCTCGACAACAGAGAATGGACGGTCATTCAAGTCAATAAATTCCATTATTTTTGGTTCAGTTTTGCAGACTGTGGCCACAGATGGCGCTGGTGTGTTTGTGACATGCTAGTAGTGTTTTTTAAGAGGTATCAAACCTGTAGTAGAGACGTTTTTGGGTGTTATACCCTCTCGTGATACTCAGCATGAACAGTGATTATAAATCTTGTGTCTTAAGTCCGTCATAGAAACTGGGAACGTTAGACGTGGCTGATATTTTCACTGTTGTTCTGACTGGTGCAGGACAGTGAAGAGAACAAATAGTGTTTTCAACAACTATTTCTGATTTTCATTAAAATTATTTATAAAGTCTTAGATTTTGTTACTGGGTTGCAAGCCTATTTAGTCTTTGGCCTTAGTTTTGGCCTTTGTTTTCTTTCAGCCAAATGCTATTTCGGTGCATCCCTAAAAAAACATTTTCCGTACCTTAGAGTTTTGCTTGCCAATCTGGAACTCATACTTGGTGCTGGGCAGCAGGTCTGAGATCACCAGGGTTTCTTCTGTGTTTGGCCAGGTCAACATCTGCTCCAGTGCCTTGTCCTCATCACCTGCTTTCTTGTATGTAATCGGTTGAGTAGCTGTCTTGGCTGAGCGTCTGAGGGTTATGCTGCTTGAGTCGACCTCCACAACCTCCGGCTCATGTTTGTTGTGGTAGTTTACGTAGTCCAGATGACAGTTTGTATAGAGTCTTACAGCGGCACCTGCATTGTATGGGTAGTCGATGTAGCTGATGATGGACAGATGGCGATTAGTAGCACCTTTGCAAAAGAGTTTCAGAGACTCCCTCATGACCTTTGAGACTTCAGGAGATTTGTACCAAGGAGTTTTTTCCTTGACAGACGGTTGTGGATCCATTTTAGAGTCCATTTTAGTGAACGTGTCCGAGAGCAGGCAAGCACTGAGGCACTCCAGGTAAGGGTCATCTTGTCCAAGGGAGGTAAACACAAACGCCCACACGCTCTTATTGCTAGGATCGAACAGCACTTTGTCGATGTCTTCAGGAGCTATGATCTGAATATCTGGTACTTGAATGTCGTTTATGTACGATTTGATGATGCTGAGTTCAGTCTCCCTCTCTTTCAGCCAGGCATCCATTTTACCAGGCCCAAAGGGTGACTCCTCATGAAGACTGAACATCTTCTCCAGCTTTTCTTCCTTCTCTGCTCCTTTCCTTATTTCAGGAAGGAGATGGAAGAGGTTGTCTTTCCACACAAGCATATATTTCTCAATGTTTGCTCCAAAAGCTTTCATCTTCTTAGTGATGTCAGTGGCCTGAATAGAGTTGCTTTCTTTAGAGATGTCGTTCGCTCTCATTTGCGCGGTGCTCAGCTCCTCCATTATATTCCGTAATTTAATGCAGTTGATTTCGCTGACCTCGTGCTTCAGCTTTGGTGCCGAAGACATAACTTCTGAAAGCGGGACGAGCCAGAATTTCTTGGGCACCACCTTCTCCCTGTTGGACCCGAGTAGTTTGGGGAGGTCTCTGTAGACTTTTACTGCCTGCTCAAAGTTGGTTGGGTTCTCCTCCAAATCGAAATCGCCGTAGAAGGTGCAAGAAAAGTTCTGTACTTTCTTTTTCTCTTCCTTTGACATCTGAATCTTTCCTTCAGCACTGACTTCAAACAGGCTCATCTTACTCAGCATGGTATTTAGGTTTGTCGTAATGCTTTTCTTCTCGGTGTGGGTTGTTGCCGTTTCGCTGAACACCATCAGCGCTTCTGCGCCGTATTCCACTCCGGTAATCACGTGGGTGGCACTTAATTTGTGGATGGCCTTTTTCTTTCCCATTTGGCTCAAGTTAAGGTGCTCAGTCCTGGTCATCACGCTGTACTGGATAGTCGCTCTGCACTCCTGCGTGGAAGACGATCTGTCGTTCAGGTAGGTGGACGAACCTCCAATCTTTACTAATCCTGCGTATATGCTCGCACTAAGAGAGGAACTTATTTCCAACAGTTTCGCTTTTTCTTCCAGCGAGTCAGACAGAGATATGTTGACAAAGGTTTGCGGCCTCTCAGTCACAACCTTGTTCTTCTCTATGCTTTCCATGTCCCACAGGTAGACTCCTAGAGAAAGAAGAATGCATCATAAAAGATCTTTACAGTTGGGGGCAGACTGTGGTCTCACAGGGCCCCTAAAGTATCTTTGGAAGCCTCCTTAACTCTAATAAGTAAGTAAGAAAGTAAGTATATAAATAAATGAGGTATTAAAGGAGAATTTAAGGTGTTTATGTGCACTTTTTGCAATGCAACTAAATACAAACTTAAATGTACTTTTCTTTTAAGCCAAACTGAATTGTAATGCAGTAACAGAAGTAGACCTGAACGATTTCACTGAATGTTACACACTAATATTATTGTCACAAAACTTCCCATTGAAATGGCAATAACAAAATCCCAATAATAAACATTTATAATACTTCTGAGGCCTGACAATGAATGACCTTTCTGTCATCTATTTTTAGTCATCTGTACTTATTTAATAGCTATTCGTTCATCTAGAACTGCAGTGGATTTTTTCACTTGGGCGTTGTGGCCTGGTGAGTAATACATCCCTGTTTACAGTCGACTCCTACCTGGAACGAAGGAATCGTTGCGGCAGTCGTACGTCATGCCCAAATGAAGATGTCGTCCGACCGCTGCAACAGCAATCGACTTGTCCGATTTCACCTCAGTGCGTTTCAAGATTTTGAACATGTTGCCGTACATCAGATGCTGGAAAAAAAAATTCAGCATATGATAAGCATTAGATCATGAACATTTCTGACGTGTGAAACTGTGCAGTAAACTGGTAATTTAAGTAACCCATTTACTTTTAAAGCTGATATATAGAAGTACAAGTACAGTTTTATATACTTTTTAGCAAGTGTATAGGATGATGAAGTACATGCTCTGTCAGATAATGCAACATATACAGTGCCCTTCATAGGTGTGTACATGCTGTTGTGTGCTGCTCTCTTTATATAATTTATTAGTTTAATCATTTTTGGGTACCTTTGAGAAAGAAGATTTGTGGGGTAAGGTGTCCTGTCATCTTATTTTCATTCCTGAATCTAATTTATTTTGAAATCTCATCCGAATTCCTGCAATTCATTACTTTGTGGTCAGTTGATTAAATTTTTGTTATCATAAAATAGTGATTGATAAGTTTATATTAAGAATGGTATTTTAGACAAGTTGTTTGTTTTTACATATATATATATAGTGGGGTGCTTTGGAGAGTAACACATTTGTTTTTATTTTTTATATTGGTGTTTATTTTTTGGAAAATGTAAAGGCCTTTGGAGTAAAAAGTTGAGCAATAGACCCCCTTTAGAGTTTGTTTGTGAGTTTTGCAGCTCAGCAGAGTTTTGTCCATACCTGATCAGTTCTGTTGTGTTCACTTATATGTTTTGTTCACTTATATGATTATATGATGAACAACTGATTAATGCTTTTTAAAAACACCATAAAAGTTCAAAGATTAGCAATGATTTCACACATATAGTAATCATAATGTTTGAAAACCCCCGGTCAATTGATATGTGTTGTTGATACTTTTAAGTGAGAATAAGTAACGTATTTTGAAATAAAAGAATATATATATATATATATATATATATATATATATAGCACCAATAATAGTAGACTTACCTGCCTAGATCTGCTGCTATCTGTGTCACACCTTCTGTCTCCTGCTGTGATCTGGAGTCAGTTAATATAACTTCTGTGTGTGCAGAGTCACTGGTGCTGTGACACATTTGTGGGAGTGGCATCAAATAATGACATAACATATTTGTGTTTAAGGCTTAAAAGACAAACTTCCAACTAAATTCGTGCATTTACTTTTTCTTCATTCAAACATTAACAGTGAAGTAAAGGGTGGTGCCTTGCATAAACTTTTAGTTTATTAATTAAACCCAAATGTTTAATGATTAGAACATTAAACATTTCAACATGTTGTAACGGTACAACCTGGAACAGAAATGGACTTCATCAAGATTTATACTATTTGATTTACAATCTAGCAGACTTTTTATTTTGACCCAAAAGTTAATTCAACAAAAATAGCAGACATTTCTTGTTTGCATAAGTAAGGATCTTCCAAACTTTGACTGCAGTTTCAGCTGCAAGTCTTCTGGGATATGTCTCTATTAGCTTTGCACATCTCATATTTTTGTCCATTCTTCTTGCAAAATTGCTCAAGCTCCATCAATTTCAGTTCCCAGATGGATGGAGGTCTGGCCTCTGACTGGGCCATTCTAACATGTTCAGGTTCTTCACCATGGCGTTGGCAGTAAGCTCTGGGTCCTTGTCCTGTTGGATGGTGAAGTTCCAATTCAGGCTCAAAGCTCTGGCAGACTGGAAAAGGTTTTCTTCTAGAATTGACCCATATTTATATCTATCCATCTTGCCCTTGGGCCTCAATTTCCCTGTCCCTGCTGATGAAAAGCATGCCTGCAACACGATTCTACCACCACCATGCTTCACTGTGGGGATGGTGTTCTCTGGGTGATGAGTACTGTTGGGTTTCCAGCAAACGTAGGCCACATTTTGCCTCCGGAAAACATTCTGCATATAATATAACCCCCAACAACAAGAAACCTCAGAACCCTTGTAAAAATGGAGAATAGACTTTCTGGAGTATTTCAAAGGTTCATTTGTAAATGCAGTGTTTTCCAGTTTTGCGGCTTCTTCATATCCATAGTATTCAGATGACATTACTCAGTCGTGCTGCCATTATGTTGGTAGGCAACTTCAAGTTCATCTTCTGAATCCAATAGAACATCTTTGGGATGTATTAGAACAGGAGATTGGCAGCATGAAAATTCACCTGAAAAATCTGCAGGAATTGCATGATGCAATTATGTCAACATGATCCTGAATCTCAAAGGAACATTTCCAATATCTGCAATCCATGCCATGAAGAATTGAGGCTGTTTTCAGAGCGAGGCTGTTTTCACTACTAAGAAACAAGACATGTCTAAAGATAAGTCCAAGGCACAAATCCAGAAGGTCTGCCTCAGTAATAATCCTTTGTCCTGATCTCCCTCTCTTCTCTGCAACAAAACCCTCTCAACACCCAGGACACATAGATCTGAAGAAGAATGTTTAGCTGATTTAAAATTATGAAAAACAGAGAATGTGTCATCCTGTCTATGTATCACACTCATATATTCAATTATTCTGGTCCACAGAGCTTGTTTAGTTTTACTAACATGTCAGGTTAGACTACACATTTTGAGAAGAGGTGGTAAACAGCAAATTGATATCCTTTTCTTGTGATCTACAAGAGGTTTCAATAAAAGGATCTGAAACTACAGGACAGAAAGTATGACCACTACATGTCGACAGTACTCTTGGGCTTAAATTTCTCTCAACCACTACATTTCAACAGTAGGCTTTCATGAGAAATGTAGCAGTCGTGAGACCTTTTTTCTTAGTCAACCTAATGATGACAATGGTCTTCCTACTCAATTTTATTTACTGATATGACAGAACTGATACTTCTAAGAAATTATTTTCTGTTTGAGAACTCTTTCTCTTGTAGATCGAAGGCAAGGCTATGGGTGGCCATTATGACCCCTGATTATGAAAATCCTTACTTGCATTACTTGAAGGAACAATATGCTTTCAATAACAATCCTTTTTTAGTAACATTATTCTGTTCAAAAGATATATTTATTATATAATATGATAAATTTCTGTATCATTCATATATATATATATATATATATATATATATATATATATATATAAATAGTCTTTTTTATAGTAAAAAGTGGCTGTCCGGTTCCAATACAGTGCAGCCCAGTAGTCAGCCCAGTAGTTTACCAGACTCTGACATATTTATTCGTATACAGCTGGTATTGAGGCTAGAGTCCAGATTCTATACAAGGACTCATGTGTCTGAGTATCCACAAAATTGGTTTGATTCTGCCTTAAATAAGGTATTTTTTTCACACCATTTGGGACTCTTGTACAGAGTGGTTATCTGAGTGACCATAACCTTTCTGTCAACTTGAACCAGTGTGTCCATTCGTGGCTGACCTCTCTCATCAACAAGGCATTTCCATCTGCAGAAGTACCGCTCTCTGGATATTTTTCCTTAATCACACCGTTCTGAGTAAAACCTAAAGCATGTATGCGTGAAAAATCTAAGGAGATCTGCAGTTATAGACATACGCAAACCAGCCTGCCTGGCACCAGCAGTCATGCCACAGTTAAAATCATTGAGATCAATGAGGCAGGAAGATGGTTTCAGTTGGGGCTGCTGAAATTTTAAGCAGCATCTACATGATGACAGTGCTGTTGCATAAATGCTCAATGTTCATGATGCAGAACTGATAACTGATTCAGAAATGATTCTGTAATTTCATGTATTAAATAAATTAATAATCTGTTCGATGTAATGTTAAAGTCTGATGTGATTTAATGTACAGTAAATTCATTTGTTCTATCTGAAATACAGTGAAGCACAAAATCATGAATCTCACAAGAATGTGCTGCTGCACTTAGCATAACTCACAGAACTGATGCTGGAAGCTAAAACAAACAAAGACTTTTGGAACATTCTCAAAGACTCAAGAATCTCTTTTCATGACAACAAGGTATTTTGTTCTACCGGTAGAATGCCTTTGTTTCATGCTAGCGCTAAGCACTATTTTGAATTTTTATTTGTTTACAAGTTGTGTACTGTATGTTCATTTAAATATATGATTCTCACAGCATGATGAGGCATGGATACATCAGTGACGAGCCCTGCCAAAGAAATAAATGCCTGTTTCAAAGAAACGACTTGTGTCTGTGGTGTTGTGAAGAGAGCCACAGTGAGCACTTGCCTGCTCAGTCTGGGTAAAAGAGACCACAGCAGATAACAACATGGCGAAGATCCAGTGCATCAGATAAGTAAAGCCTATAGCTGGTATACTGATTGCACGCAGTGATGGTTAGACTGTGTTGAAAGCTAAACACAGGAAGCGCTCTGCCACAATTTTCATGATAAGCTGTTGTGAGAAGTGGTTCTTCAAAATTGCAACTAAGGACCCAAGTCTATTAACATGCTGGCAGCCTACATGTATGGGGATAAATTTAATGTGCCAGTGCCTGATATTATAACATGTCTCAGGGTTTAAAGGGGAACTCCACCCCTTAAGCAAGGTTAAAACGAAAACTTAACTTCAAGCAAGTGAACAGGCTTAAGTGAAGATTAAAGAAAAGGACATTATTATTGGTTAAAACTGAGATTTTGTAAAATTTTGTTTTATGAGAAGTAACTGAGCTCAAGGGACAACTTAAGTGAAGTTTAAAGGGGAACTTAAGGTGAATTTAAGAGTGAGTTTTTGTCTGTACAAACTGTCTAACACCTCAGAAAGGCCACCTTCATCTCTAGAACTGGCTGAGACCAGTTTAAGCATCATGGTTTACTTACAACAAGTGTGCAGGTGCTTCCTCTTGCATATACACACTATCTACTGAACTATATAAAATGCAATTGATAGCCAACTTCCTCTGTTCTCAGCTCAGCAGACTGCCTTTGCACTCTGTTGATTTGTTGAACCTTTCTTTGCAAAGTATTAAACTTCAAAGACACTCTGAGTGTTAAAGCCTTTATTTCAGGCTCTCACCCAAAAAGAATAATTACTTTTTTCCATGACACTCCACTGATGTGAAAACTTTTCTTGTGTAAAGGATAAGTGATTTAATGCATTCCTAAGCATGTTATCTCTGCAGTTAACGTTTACACATACATATTGTGCAAAGTAATTCCCAGTATTCTTTTACTGTTCAAAATTGAAGTCAACTTGAAGTTCAGACAATTTTAAGCACTGCTTTTATATATATATAAAATATATTTAATATATACATTTATTAACAACATTCCTGACTACTACATTTAGGCTTACTGTAGCTTACATTTACACATGGCCTAATAGAAATCCAATTACAAGCACTGAGATCTGCTGTAAAAATGCTGATTCACCTGCTCAACCTGAAGCTACAGATACCAAACCTCCAGAAAATGTAGAAAGGCTACAAAGACTTGAAAGAACCTGAACCCTAACAGAAAAGAGAAGGAAGGCTGAAGAGTGTACAATGTTGGTACAGATCAGCTATGAAAAGTGAGGTATCATGCAAGAATAAGCGAGGAAATATTGACAGATGAAGCCTCCAAGGATGAACTGAATGAACTGATTGAGAACATGGAAAGCGCCTGTTCTGATGTAATGGCCATTTATGAAGAGTTATGTCAAGTGTAAACATAGAAAGGTTGAACTCCTAGAAGGATTAAAGTCGTTAAATGCTGCAATAGTAGCTTGAGTAAAGATCTACAATCAATTTGAAGAAAATCTTAAAGCAATTGCTCTGCTGCATAATATTGAAATAGCAGGGGAACCCCAAGCCCTCCATGCCTCAAGTGTCCTATTCATTCCCCAGTTTCTACCAGTTTCAAGTCAAGCTGCTACTCCCCAAAGTCTGCAATTGGTACTTTAAGCTCCACCAATATCAGTGCCTATGCATTGAGTGCAGAACAGCTCAGATTTGGTTGATTAGCTAGCAGAAGCTATAAGCACCAATTTTCTTCCAAAACAAGACCCTGCATTATTCTCTGGAGCTCATTTGAAATTCAAAGACTGGTGACTATCCTTCAAATCTACAAGTGAGAGAATACAAGTCAGAGAAAAGGATTTCATTGCCATTAGTTTCCACACAAAAGTTTATTCTGGCAAACAGGCTACACATTCCAAATTCTGAAATGGCTCTAAAATGGCCTCATTTGGAACAATTGGCAGGAAAGATTCCACCACCATTGGATTGCAAAGAAGGTCTTCTGATCGGCTATAACTGTCAACAAGCCCTTCTTCCAAGGGAGATGCTGTCCAGTAAAGAAAATCAGCCGTATGCACAGCGAACTGATCTCAGCTGGCATGTCGTCGGCTGCTCGAGTCCAGCACGTGATTATTGTGATGCAATACGAACCAGTCACAGAATCATAGCACGACAAGTGACGCCTGCTGTGTAACCATTAGTTGAGCTAAAGAGAGACGTACACTTTGTGTGCAAACTTATGTCAGAGATTATTTCAACAGACATAATCAAGGCTCTCCACTTTCACAGATCACACCACAGTCAACAACCCAGTCTCAGGAAGACCTTGTCTTCTTGTCTGAAGTGAAACATGATGTAAGGCAGAAGGAAGACAGCCACTACAAGCTCCCGCTTCCATTTAAGATGGATATACCCAATCTCCCAGACAATAAACAACGTGCAGTTTATAGGCTCACCTCCTTAAAGTGATGGCTGAGAAGAAATAAACAGTATTGCAAGGATTATGTCCAATTCATGAATGACATAAGAACCCATGGAGATGCTAAGGTGGTTCCACAGCCTGAGCTCAATAACCAGGCAGCATGTTATATCCCGCAACATGGAGTCCCCATTAACCTGGGAAAATATGTGTGGTTTCCGACTGTTTGGCACACTCCCAAGAAACCTCTCTAAATGGTCATCTCTTGACCGGGTCAGATCCGACTAACACATTAGTTGGAGTGCTGTGTCAATTTAGAAAGGCCCCAATAGCCATAATGTGTGACATGAAAAGAATGTTCCACCAATTTCACATTGCAAAGGAACACCCAGACTACCTGAGATTCCTCTGGAGGGACATAAGTGATCTGGACTCCAAACCTTTGGTGTACATGATGAAGGTGCACCTGTTTGGGTGTTCGTCCAGAAAGGCATCTACATTGATGATGGTTAACAAGTGTAAAGTCACCTGCTGAAGCCATACATTTAGTAGAAGAGTCAAGCGCCTTGTGCAGAACAGGAAACCTTCAGCTGCAGTAGTTTGTATCCAATAACAAAGAGGTGATTGCCGCAGTACCACCTGAAGAACATGCCCAAACCAGAGATCTAGACATGGCTTTAGGAGGACTTCACATTGAGTGAACATGTGAAGTTCAATTTCGCATCAAAGTGGATGAATTTTAATTCAGGGTCTACTGACAAGGAGAGGAGTTCTTTTTACCGTTGCATCTGTCTCTGATCCGCTAGGGTTTGTGGTGCCATCCAACAGATTCTTCAGGCGCTATGTAGAGACAAAGTAAGCTGGGACAAAGATCTTCCTGAACATATTCTGCCACAATGGAAGTCATGACTTAAGGATCTGCCTTACTTGGCAGCCCTGAAGATTTCAAGAAGTTACTTCACATCAAGCTTTGGCGAAGTCATGCAATACAAGCTCAACAAGTTCTCAGATGTAAGTTTCAATGGAAATGGTGCATGTTCATATCTCTGGGAAATAAGTGAAACAGGACAGATCAATTGCTCATTCGTCATGGGATGCAAGAGTAACCCTTACCAAACTACAACTACCTCAACACTTGAATTGTCGTCAGTAGTATGCGACAGCAATGTCATCAAAAGGGAGCTTGGGATTAAAAACTTGCAAGAGTATTACTTGACCGACTCAAAGGTGGTCCGTGCCATGTAAACAATGATGGCAAGACGTTTTACATGTTTTGTAGCTAACCAGATCCAACACATAAATCAAGCACAAACTCTAAGAAATGGAGTCAGCTCCGAAAATAAATCAGCCGACCACGTCTCAAGAGTCTCATGAGTGCAGTTCAACTGAATGGGTCTAACTGGCTGAATGGACCTGACTTACGATGTGGATCGGCCCATCACTAAATTGTTGTTCACTTGCCTATGCTCCAGAGCAGTACATGTAAAAACAATAGATGAGTTGAAAAGAGATGCGTTTATGAATGCACTTCAAACATTTGTAGCTATCAGAGGACCTGTACGCCAAATAAAGTGCAACCATGGAATGAATTTAATGGGCAGAGAGAGGAGAGAGTTTCTGAATTGCTTATGGGAATACATCAAGAATGTCACCGAGCAATCAGCTGTAAATTCATAATGAACATCCCATCAGCAAGCAATATGGTGGAGTTTGGGAGCATAAAATTTGAATGATCCAAAGTATCCTGACTGCCATGTTCAACAAGTCTGCAAGCAGATTTTATACAACTCTGAGAACATTTCTTTACAAAACAATGGCCATAATGAACAGCAGGCCAATAAGTGTTCATCTTCACAATCCTACTGGTCCAGAACCTCTCACCCCCAACCATATACTAACCATAATATCATCAATTATTCTGCTCCCTCCCTGGACAGTTCTGCAAATACTTCTATCTGTCTAAAAGATGGAGAAAGGTGCAGTTCTTAGCCAATGAATTCTGGCAAAGATGGAAGCGGGAGTCCCTGTTAAACCTCCAACAATGACAGAAATGGCAAAGAAAATCACAAAATCCACAAGTAGATGATATTGTGATTCTACAAGATGACAGCGCACCAAGAAATGAACAGAACCTTGCCAAGAATAATGTTAAAAAAGGACAATTTATTAAAACTCAAATAATACAAAGAAAATGAAAATGAAAATCTAATTACCCTCAATAACCCAAGCTTAAGATGACCATCAATGGGAATTAGGAAATTAGCTCAAGCACAAAAGCTATCAACATAAAACAAGAGAAATCACTGTGCAAGGCAGCCTTAAAAGTAACCAGAATAAATGTATCAAATAAGCCCAATTTCTCCATATAAAAATATTTCTTTGAAAGGAAGAAGAGAGGACAGCAGTCACGGAGAAGTCTTTACCACACCAACATGACCTGGCTCAGCCCCTCAATTCTGCAGCAGTCCTCCCAGCAGCTCTGCAGCATTGCGTCCCAACTACTGATTAAAAGAAACACAGGACAGGAGCAGTATCTGGCCAACAGCGGGCGATGCCAGTCAATACTTCTAAAATGATAGCATTTATTTTCCCACCCAATGGAAGCCACTGTAACGCTAGGACTAGCAGGGTATCCAATATCTACCCATAATAAAACAAAACAATACTTGTAATACTTTGAAACAATACTTACAGTTTGCTCGGAAACGAGCACTGCCAGGGATTCCAGGGCCTAGGTGTAAATGTCGAGCAGCAATGTCAACGTTCATTCTCTGCCCGAACCAGCCTCCAAGCAGCCACTGCACTCTATCCGTTTTTGGTGTTCAATGCCCAGTGTCTCATGGCCTGCTCTGTTGCTCAGTGCTTCCCTGCTCAGCCCTTTCAACTCCACATGGCCTCCAGACGGCAATTACTGCTTGTCATTTGCTGCTCTGAATTAGCTGTTTGGCATTTCTGTGCTTGACATAGCTGGCGGTTAGCTGCTCACACAGCGTCAACTGCTTTCCAACAATCTTCTCGACCAGTCTCTTCATCTAAAATGAAAGAAAGTAGTCTTACCCTACAGTGGCCACAAATGCCACAATGCTCATGTTCCAAGCTCCACAAAAGTTCCATTCTGCTTGTCCATAATACAGAATACAATTTAATCAAACAGTCTAAAGATGACAGCTTGGAAGAGAGTAAATGCTTTAATAAAATGGCCAGAAAACCAAATTCTTGAGCATACAGATAAATATATATATATATATATATATTTAGAACATTCATTCTAGTGTATTAAAATCCCACATACATAGAGGAGAGTGACCAATCAAACATTTCTATGTCCCATGTTTGTCTCAGACATTGAACCCAAACACATATATAATAAAAGATGTAATATAAATACAAAAACCATCCCACACACACACAAAAGGGAAAAATAACGCAATCCACACAATTCGACCCCAAAAAAGAAATAAACACAAAAAATTTACCCATCTTGCATCTGCTCGTCTTTAATATTGTCATTTCATCATTCCTCTAACATGTTTAGTCTCTGTTATAAGCTGGAGGCACCCCCAGGCTCTCCCTTGTTGAGTGCCTGGGCACTGCCCTGCTAGTCCTCAACTAAATCAAGGTTCAAAGTTGCATAAAACCAACCTACTGGAGCTTCAGGTTCCTTCCCAGCATTTCTCTTACTTGTCATAGGTTCATCTTGGTGGAATAAAACACATGGCTCAAGAGCCTTCCAATATAAAACTCTCTCTCTCCCTCCACTCTTAGGCTTTACCCTGCACACTTACCTATCTGTCCTACTTGGTCTAAGACCACATAGACTGTAGGGCCCCACCAACCTCCCAAGGTACCCCAGCCCTGCCTTCCCAAATCTCTAACCCACACTCTTTATCCTGGCAATAAGGAAGCAGCCTTAAAAGCCTTAAAGTCATACTTGCGTTTATACTGGCCTGTAGTAGTATCTGCGTTCTTTTTCGCCTACTGAAAAGCAAAAGACAGTTTGGAATGATGACTCTGTACTCACTCTTGTCTAGTGACCCTAGTTTGGGAGGCGTCTATGCAAAGGGCAACATCAACTGACAGGCAGCAGTGTCGGCCAAAGATGAAATACGATGAGGCATACCCTTTGGAGATGCACAGTATTGTTATATGCTAGGGGTTCTGGGAGGTAGTGGCTCCAGTGACTTTGCTTCTCTTCCTGTAGAGTTTGAAGCATACTTAACAAGGTCTGGTTTAATCTTTCTGTCCTACTATTTCCCTTGGGGTGGTAAGGGTTTGTCTTACTCTTGGCTACTTCATACAATGTGCAAAATTCCTGCATAAGCACAGACTCAAAGATAGGGCCATGAACAGAATGAAACACCTTAACTGTGGTAAGGGCAGTCCTGGCTCACGTTGGAACAGCCCATACATAACATATGAGAAGATCAGTTGCTACTAGGATTTTTGGTAGGTGTCATTAGGTCTTCATAAAGACAGAAACTCTAAGACCACAACCTCAGGAGGAAAGGAGACAACAATGGGATTCAAAGGAGCCCTTACCTCTGCTCTGTCCTTCTGCAGGCTGCAGGTAACACATCCAGCTTGAAAGTCCTTTACCTCTTCCTCCATCTTTGGCCAGTAGAATCATCAAACATACTCAACAAAGTTTGTTGCACTCCCACATGCCCCACTGTTTCATGATACCTTTTCCATACTTCTTGACATTGAGAAGAAGGGCAAACTACCAGAAGGTATCTTTTGTGTGTGTTTTGATCTATAACTTGATAGCAAAACATCTGCTTATGGCATGTAAGCGTCCCCATCTGCTGTAGGAGGTGCTTGGCTCTCAAAAACACTCCAACTGCACCCCTGCCAGCCGGCGGAAGCCTGGGACATCTCAACAGAGCATCAGTGTTAACATGCTCACATTATCCATAACCACCTGGTTTGGTTCTTCCACCTCACAAGAACAAGCCAAACTCCAGCACATATTCAGGACAGTAGACAGGATTATTGGACGTAAACAGCAGGGTGATGAAGCGCTCTGGCAAAAACAGCTGACCCCTCTCATCCTGGACATCACCTCTTCCAGAAATGCCCCTCTGGTAGAAGATTCTAAAACCAGCAAAGCCAGACCTGCTAACAGCTTTTTCCCAGAGCTGTAGTGCTTATTAACCATAGTGGACCATTTTTGAATGATTTGTACTCAGTCGTATAACAAGAACACATATATATGTCATATATGTTATATAACAATTATACATCTAACAATGAGCCTTGCTGAATCTTGAATCTATTGACTAGTCAACTACTGACCCCTACTGACTGACTCAGGTATTGACTAGTACTAAACGTCTCAACTCCTGACCCCTACTGACTGACTCAGGTACTGACTACCAACAGGCAGTTAAGCAAATATTGCACTGTTTATTCCTCCTGCAGAGCTTAGGCCTCATTTGTTAACCAACCAAGCAGCTCTTTCAGTTGCAGAGCAGGACTGACTGACACTTCACCCCATTGTAGTTCTCCCCTTAGAGCAAGACCAACAAACCCAGAGCTGCTGTTTCCCTTTCATATATAAACAGATCAACCCAGGAGAACACTGGCAGGGGATAAGCTACAATAGATTGTTGATTAGTTGCTTAATAGCTTTTAGCTTTTGTGTCAGTTTGTCTTGTAGGACTGAACTTAATTCAGATATGGGCCTGTGGGAGTGGTGTGGTGTGCAGTCTGCTGAAGAGGTCATGTTGAAGTCATTCTAGAAGATGTTTTCTTCCCACTGGACTGGCACAAATCAAGTTGAGAAAGAAAAGAAAAAAGAAGAATATAATAGAAAAACTAGAAAAAGCTCTTATTGTCGTGGGCTGCTTTTTTATTTTGTTAGCCAGTAAACAATTAACAATAAAAGTTCTGGACAGATTTGACTGATTTTCTTTATACATACGCTTCAGTGTTTGTATACTGACAAGTTTGTTTAAGCTGAGGTTCTCAAAAAACAAAGGGACTTCAGGAATACCTGAGTTTGAATACCTCTGATCTAATCTATTTACTTTATGTGGAATTCCATCAGGATAGTGTACCAGCCAAGAATTTGATACCCTTTATTTTAAAATTGAACAGCTGGTAGATTGTCTGCTTTATTTATGCATTCATCACGTCAAGCAATGATAGGTTGAAGCCACGGATGCATCGATACCAATACTGGTATGAAGGAGGATCTGCTCACACAGAGAAGAGTTACTGACTCCATCACAGTCGGACACAAAGCCGTCGCTCACTATAAACATTCTGCCTTGGCAGATTCCCACCAGGATACACTGAGAGATTATAGACTGTTTATAAACACACAATCACAACCACTTCCATAACACGGGTGGAGACACACAGGCCAACAAAACGGAGGAGAAAAAGTTGACATTTGCTGCCAAACTCCCTCTATGCCGTCTTTACTCTGACTGAATTAATACAGTGATTTTTCTTTAAATCAGGCTGTAGAGAGACCGAACTGTCCTACCGTGAACATCAGCGCCTGCTTTATCTTCAGCGCTCAGTGTTAGCAGCGCTGCTCAGCGTCTCAGCGTGTTGCTCAGTACTCGGTTATTCTGAGTGAATCAGCTTTATTGATAACGGTCTGTAGTCAGAGCGTCTGTAGAGGCTGCGTTTCCCGTAGCAGGTCAGTCAGACGGAGCGTTTCGTACAGTGTGAGTTTATAAATCGTAGCTTTGTCTGAACACGATGGTCTATTCAAACAGACAGTGAGAGTCACCAAAGAACAAGAGCTCTAACATCACACAGTGTCTGTCTGGCTTCAGCGGACATTCAGCTAAAGCTCAGCCAGCTAAATAAAAGACCCCAACAAGACGGAAAACTAGAAGCGTGAGCCCCTTGGATGCGCTATCCTTGGATGTGATTCCTGCTGTCACTGTGCTGCTGCTGAAAGAGACGGATGAGGATCAAAACTATGAAACCTACTTATAGCTTTTCTGACAGGGAACAAAATCCACTGTTCTCCACTGCAGTGCTACTCGATCCAAGATAACAAATGTAGCATAGCTAGCTAACGCAGTTCGTTCTAAGTAGGTTACTCAGTCTGGTATGATGAGTACTAAAAAATATGTGCTTGTACTCGGCCTGAAAAGACTGGTATCGATGCATCGCTAGTTGAAGCTCTGCACTTACATTCACTAGTAAAATCAAAAAGGCCACCAGCATTAGCAGATCTAAAATGAATCAGATGTTTGAGAGAGATAACAAATCTTTATTAATCCCTGGAGCAAAATCTAGGTGCTTTGGTAGCATTTATAATTACATACAATATAATACAAGTAAGTAAAATATTTATAAAAGAATTAAAACAAATGTAAGTATATATAGAGTTTCCAATGAATATATAAACAGCACTCCACAAAAGGTAGACACCACTCTTCATTTATTTGATCAAACCAGCCAGTCATTCATTTTTCAGTTTAGGTAAAAAGCAGGAAACATAGCTAACAGCAAATTACAGAGAACAACTAAATCTACTCTCAGCTGTGTGAGTCAGTGAGTCACTCTTTCCCTTTATTCCAGCTTCCATTCTGTTCAGGAGACTCACTTTCAGTTCCTCAAAGAATCTGCAGACACACCTCCAAAGTTCAGTCTTAGAAGCTGGTTGACCATTTTCTGAAGTAATCAAACACATTCAGTGATGTTAAGGTCTGGACTCTGGGGTGGTCAGTCCATTGGTTCAAGTGGACAGTTTTGGTGGTCTACCAGGTCTTCCAGGTGGTTGTTAGAAGTACCGTTTTCTCTGTAGCCTTTAAACATTTTTTTGAACTCCAGTTTTGGAAACTCTACTTATTTTCTCTTTCCTTGTGCAAGTAGATTATCTTATATGTAATCTTCTCACAAATACCTCCTGAAAAGTCATTATCTTGGCTTCATAACTATTTTTACTGAAAATTAAATAAATGAAGGGGAGTCTCTAACTTTTGCACAGTACTGTGTATGGATGAGAAGCTGCACCAGAGTACCTGATGTGCTGCAAAATTGTGGTGCATCTATGCAGATGTGCATGTGTAGTGCAAAAGTCCAGTAAACCTCTGCAAGATTTTATTGAACTGCATTTTGTGAAGTTCTCTTGGTGAGTCTGACGCTTCATAGGGTCTCGATCATGAGCTGCAATGGAAAATGAAAGTCTGTGATTAGTCATACAGAAAAATGTGTGATACTCATTGGGGGCATTTTCATCACTGACAAATCTGACTCTCACAAGTGTGATGAAAACAAGTAAAATAAAATGAATAGCGATGCACCAGAAAGAAAATTCTTGGATGAAACCAAAACCAAAATCCAGAACACACCGAAAAAAGCTGACAATCAGTAACTAGAAGGAAAAGTTAGTGAACAAACTAGTGAACGAGTAGAACAAGTTGGCTTGACAAAGCCATTGCTGTGGTATCCCAGATCTTTGCCAATGTGTATGTGTATACACCAACCGGCCACTTCATTAAACCCACCTCCTTGTTTCTACACTCACTGTCCTTTTTATCAGCTCCACTGACCATATAGTCTCACTCTGAGGTTCTACAGTTACAGACTGTAGTCCATCTGTTTCTCTGCATACTTTGTTACCCTGTTCTTCAACAGTCAGGACCACTACAGGACCCCCCCACAGAGCAGGTTATATTTGGGTGGTGGGTTATTCTCAGCACTGCAGTAACACTGACGTGGTGGTGGTGTGTTAGTGTGTGTTATGCTGGTCTGAGTGGATCAGACACAGCAGTGCTGCAGGAGTTTTTTTTTTGAAAAAAACCTTTCTGTATAGACTCTACAATCCTGCAAATTTTTGTGGTTGTAGCTCAAAAATTGCAACCTGTGAAAATAGTACAAAAAAGCATAGAAAAATACAACAAAGAACAGTAAGCTGGCTTTGTTAAACATACTTAATAAACAGTAAACATCACAGTTTGTGCTACGTCTGACATCCTCAGCAACAGAACAGAGTGGTATCAAACCTGTAGTAGAGAAGTTTTACTCTTCTGTCTTCATACTCCTGAATAGTGATTATAAATCTTGTGCCTAAAGTCCATCATAGAAACTGTGAAAGTTACACGTGGCTGATATTTTCACTGTTCTACACTGACTGTTGAAAGACAGTGAAGGGAACAAACAGTGTATTTAACAACTATTTCTGTTTTGGCCTTTGTTTTCTTTCAGCCAAATGCTATTTCAGTTCATCCCTAAAAATAAATTCTGTACCTTAGAGTTTTGCTTGCCAATCCGGAACTCATACTTGGTGCTGGGCAGCAGGTCTGAGATCACCAGGGTTTCTTCTGTGTTTGGCCAGGTCAACTTCTGCTCCTGTGCCTTGTCTCCCTCACCCGCTTTCTTGTATGTAATCGGTTGAGTAGCTGTCTTGGCTGAGCGTCTGAGGGTTATGCTGCTTGAGTCGACCTCCACAACCTCCGGCTCATGTTTGTTGTGGTAGTTTACGTAGTCCAGATGACAGTTTGTATAGAGTCTCACAGCGGCACCTACAGTGTATGGGTAGTCGATGTAGCTGATGATGGACAGGTTGCGATCAGCAGCACCTTTGCAAAAGAGTTTCAGAGACTCCCTCATGACCTTTGAGACTTCAGGAGATTTGTACCAAGGAGTTTTTTCCTTGACAGACGGTTGTGGATCCATTTTAGAGTCCATTTTAGTGAACGTGTCCGAGAGCAGGCAAGCACTGAGGCACTCCAGGTAAGGGTCATCTTGTCCAAGGGAGGTAAACACAAACGCCCACACGCTCTTATTGCTAGGATCGAACAGCACTTTGTCGATGTCTTCAGGAGCTATGATCTGAATATCTGGTACTTGAATGTCGTTTATGTACGATTTGATGATGCTGAGTTCAGTCTCCCTCTCTTTCAGCCAGGTGTCCATTTTACCAGGCCCAAAGGGTGATTCTGCATAAAGTTTGAACATCTTCTCCAGCCTTTCTTCCTTCTCTACTCCTTTCCTTATTTCAGGAAGGAGATGGAAGAGGTTGTCTTTCCACACAAGCATATATTTCTCAATGTTTGCTCCAAAAGCTTTCATCTTCTTAGTGATGTCAGTGGCCTGAATAGAGTTGCTTTCTTTAGAGATGTCGTTCGCTCTCATTTGCGCGGTGCTCAGCTCCTCCATTATATTCCGTAATTTAATGCAGTTGATTTCGCTGACCTCGTGCTTCAGCTTTGGCGCCGAAGACATAACTTCTGAAAGCGGGACGAGCCAGAATTTCTTGGGCACCACCTTCTCCTTGTTGGACCCGAGCAGTTTGGGGAGGTCTCTGTAGACTTTTACTGCCTGCTCAAAGTTGGTTGGGTTCTCCTCCAAATCGAAATCGCCGTAGAAGGTGCAAGAAAAGTTCTGTACTTTCTTCCTCTCTTCCTCTGACATCTGAATCTTTCCCTCAGCACTGACTTCAAACAGGCTCATCTTACTCAGCATGGTATTTAGGTTTGTCGTAATGCTTTTCTTCTCAGTGTGGGTTGTTGCCGTTTCACTGAACACCATCAGCGCTTCTGCGCCGTATTCCACTCCGGTAATCACGTGGGTGGCACTTAATTTGTGGATGGCCTTTTTCTTTCCCATTTGGCTCAAGTTAAGGTGCTCAGTCTTGGTCATCACGCTGTACTGGATGGTCGCTCTGCACTCTCGTGTGGAAGACGATCTGTCGTTCAGGTAGGTGGACGAACCTCCCATCTTTACTAACCCAGCATGTACACTCGCACTGAGAGAGGAACTTATGTTTAACAATTTCATTTTTTCTTCCAGTGAGTCAGACAGAGATATGTTGACAAAGGTTTGCGGCCTCTCGGCCACAACCTTGTTCTTCTCTATGCTTTCCATGTCCCACAGGTAGACTCCTAGAGAAAGAAGAATGCATCAAAAAAGATCTTTACAGTCGGGGGCAGACTGTGGTCTCGGGTGGCCCCAAAAATATCTTTGGAAGCCTCCCAACAATAATGATAATACATACATACATTCAAACATACATACATATATACATATATGCTTTCATATATGCAAACATACATTTATACAAACAAACATAAATAAATGAATAAATAAATTATGTATTAAAATAGTCTTGAAAAGTGAGATGTAACAATAGTATTCACTGTCATAATAGTGCGCTAATAGTGCACTTGCAATGCAAATTTCTTTTTTGTTTTAAAAATGAACAGAATGTTCCTCATCAAATGTGATAATCTAACTGTTTTCTGTCTAAATACAAACTTGAAGGTCTATTAAGCCAAACTGAACAGTAAAGCAGTAACAGAAGTAGACCTGCACTATCATTACTATTGCACACCATCTAAAACTTCCCATTTGAGCAGCAACAACAAAATCCCAATAATAAACATTTATAAAACTTGTGAGGCCTGAGAATGGATGACTATTTAGTCATCTGTACTTATTCAACTACTATTTGTCCACCTAATATTCAAATCTGCAGTGGATGGTCTCGAGTATTTGAGCCCCCTTGGCCCGGTCAGTAACGCATCCCTGTTTACAGTTGACTCCTACCTGGAACAAAGGAATCGTTGCGACAGTCGTACATCATGCCCAAATGAAGATGTCGTCCGACCGCTGCAACAGCAATCGACTTGTCAGATTTCACCTCAGTGCGTTTCAAGATATTCAACACCTTGCTGGTCATCGTGCTGGAAAAAATGAGAGAAATTTCAGCGTATGATATGCATTAGACCGTGAACATTTCTGATGTGTGAAATTGTGCAGTAAACTGGTAATAAAAGTAGCCCATTTACTGTAAAAGATGATACATGGAAGTACAAGTACAGTTATATATACTTTTCATCAGGTGTATGTGTTGATGAATACGCTGTCAGATATATAATGTATGTAGTGCCCTTCGTAGGTGTGTACATGCTATGTGTTGCTTTACCTCAATCTTCTGTACATACTGTAATTTATTAGTTTAATAATTTTAGGGTGCCCTGGAGAAAGAAGACCCTTGGAGTAAGATGTCCTGTCTCCTTATTTTGATTCCTGAATGTAATTTATTTGGAAATTTCATCCACATTTCTGATATTCATTACTTTTGAAAGTTAGTTGATCACATTTTTGTCATTGTGTAATAGTGATCTATGAATTTATATCAAGTTATTTGAGAAAAGTCATTAAAATAAATGATAGTTGGGTGTTTTGGAGAGTAACACATTTGTTTTTATGTGAAAATGTAAAGTCCTTTGAGGTAAGAAGTCCCCCAGACATGAGACAAAAGACACCCTTTAGAGTTTGTTTGTGAGTTTTGCAGCTCAGCAGAGTTCCGTCTACACCTGATCGGTTCTGCCATGTATATCAATCGTTTATATTCAGCAATTAACTGGTGCAATTTTTCTTATTTTTACAATAATAATAATAATAATAATAATAATAATATGAAACTATTCCACAGTCTATTTTACTGTCATTTGTCTTTTGCTGTAGATTATTAAACTGTACTGGAATCATTAAGACATCAGTTGATTGAATCCTGCTCTTAGTGCTGTACTTTGATTTAAAAAAAAATCAAAATCTAGAAATGATTTGACATGTACAGTTGTATGCAAAATGTTTGAACATCTCAGGTCAATTGATATGTGTTGTTGATTTTTTTAAGTAAAATGACATTGGAAAAAATCAGAAAATAAGCTTTTATATTTTATTTTACTCTACAATTTGTTAAATTCACTAAATAAACAGCAATTGTGCATTAAAATGTGCAGAATATGACCACAAGCATTTGAACCGCTGTAAATTAAACATTCTGCATAAATAATAATAAAAGTGTAAGAAAAGATGAGCATTTTTTGTGCAATTCTGCAGCTTTTTCAAACACACTAGACTTTTTTTTATAGTATATACATATTTGTATAGCAACAATAACAGTAGACTTACCTGCCTGGATGTGCTGCTACCTATGTCACACCTTCTGTCTTCTGCTGTGATCATTCAGTGAACTGGAGTCAGTTAATATAACTTCTGTGTGTGCAGAGTCACTGGTGCTGTGACACATTTGTGGGAGTGGCATCAAATAATGACATATTTGTGTTTAAGAGTAAAAAGATAAACTTCCAACTAAATTCATGCATTTACTTTCTCTACGTTCAAACACTAACAGTGAAGTGCTGTATGTAAGCTTTTAGTTATTAATCAAACCCAAATTTTAAATGATTAAAATATTATAAATTGTTCAGCCCTATTCAGAACTGAACCGCAGTATTCATCCCCTTGAACGTTTTGACGTTGTAGTCTGGAACAGAAATGGACTTCATTAAGATTTCTGCTCTTTGATTTCAAATCTGGCTGGCTTTTTATCTTTATAAACAGAAATAGCAGACATTTGTTGGTTGCATAAGTAAGTATATTCCAACCTTTGACTGCAGTTTCAGCTGCAAGTCTTCTTCTCTTTCAGCTTTGCACATCTGGATCCTCATATTATTATCCATTCTTCTTGCAAAATTGCTCAAGCTTCATCAGATTCAGTTCCAAGTTGGATGGAGGTCTGGCCTCTGACTGGGCCATTCTAACATGTTCAGGTTCTTCACCGTGCCGTTGGCAGTAAGCTCTGGGTCCTTGTCCTGTTGGATGGTGAAGCTCCACCCCAGTCTCAAAGCTCTGGCAGACTGGAAAAGGTTTTCTTCTAGAATTGCCACATATTTATATCCATCCATCTCGCCCTCAGGCCTCATCAGTTTCCCGGTACCTGCTGATGAAAAGTATGTCTGCAACACGATTCTATCACCACCATGCTTCACTGTGGAGAAGGTGTTTTCTGGGTGATGAGTACTTTCGGGTTTCCAGCAATAAGAAGCACAAAAACCCTCGTAAAAAAGGAGAATAGACTTTCTGGACTTTTTCAAACGTTCATTCGTAAATGCAGTGTTTTCCAGTTTTGCTGCTTCTTCATATTCATAGTATTCATATGACGTCACTTAGTCACACTGCCACCATATTAGTAGGTAACTTCATTGCTCAGTGTGGTGGCAGTTTGTTATGAGATAACAAACCTGTAACAGATCCAACAAAGGGAGTAAAACACTCACTTTAAAACCTCATCAGGATGGTGGTGTACAGTATTGAGCAGCGCGTCAAGGTATGTAGCATATTTTTTCGGTTCAGACTGCTTCGTCCTAATGGGAGTTACAGCAGAATATTCGGGGCCTCTTTCGAGTGAATCTCCCTGTGTTAAATAGAGTACAGAAAGCCTGAAACGTTTCAGCCTCTTGCTGTCATCAGTGCTCATGAATCAACTCTGTCAATCTACCCCATTTTAAAAGACCCAAATAAATTATCCTCACCTGTGCAGATTCTGCTAGGGCCTTCTTAAAGTGAGAGCACAACATCTAGAGGATCCACACAGCTGCATAGATAGAAATCAAATATATCAAAAAACATTTCAAACACATATCAAATGATCAAAGTTAGTTTTTCAATCGAGATCGAGATCCTCATTCATACCATTAGGAAACTACGATATACATCCATAAATCCAGAAGGCCTCCCTCTGTAATGATCTATTGTCCTGATCTCCTCTCTTCTCTACAACAAAACCCTCCCCATGCCCAGAAAGCGTGGATCTGAAAGAGAACGTTCAGCTTCTAAATGATGAACAACAGAGGGTCTATGAATAGCACTCATATGTTCAACTATTCCAGTCTGCACAGCTCGTCTAGTTTTACCAACACGACATAGAGGACAAGGACACATGATGACATAAACAACATGTGTGGATCTACAGGTTATGAATCATCTGATCAGATATGTTTTCATTCAGATATGTTTGAAGGCGTATAAAAGATTTACATTTCACAAACTGAGACCAAGAGATGCAATTTTAATAAGGAAGATGACCCTGGGCATTGGGGAGAGTTGGAGAAACAATGGGAACATTAAAAAGATAAATTAAAAAGATAAACACCAAAGAGCTGCGTTTTCAGATGTTTATCAAAAGTGAGTCTAATAAAAGGTGAACTGAGCTCCACAGTTTAGAAGCAGCTGTATTTTATGGAAGATGTCTGCAGAAGGCCAGCATCTATGTATATGTATCTGCATGTGCCAATTTGTCTCTTAAATGTTTCCTCTAGAAGAGAGACAGAAGGTAGGATCTGTAAAAAGATCTAATAATTCACCACCACTGTGTAAAAAGTGCCAATGATTGCTGATGATGTTCTTAATCTTCTGACCAAAGCACTAAATATAGATTTAACAGTACAAGAGAAACTTTTAAAATACATTTTTAACAGCCACTCTCTGGAGTCCTAAACGGTGTGAGGAACGTACCTTCTTTAAAGCTGAATCAAGCCAGTTCTGTGGATGCCCATTGACACGAATATCCGTGGAACTGGATGGGCACTCTTAGCATTTAGATATCTGTCTTTCTATATAGGGAAGTGTCCAAAAAATGCGCATACTTCATGTCTACATGATGAATAAACATAATGGAAGGTCTTAAACAGTTCATATATAATGCAGTCCAAAGTCCTTCTGTGAACCTCTGTAAATGACAAAGTATCATCAGTATGTCTTTTGAACAGAACACACACACACACACACACACACACACACACTACATCTAAGCTGCTTATCCACCTGGCTTGTCAAGTCAATTTTAAGTTTATTTATATGGCGCTTTTCGCAACAGGGGTGTCACAAAGCAGCTTTACAGAAAAATCCGGGTCTGAGCCTCCATGAGTGTCACCAGTGGCGACAGTGGCAAGGAAAAACTCCCTAAGAGAAAGAGGAAGAAACCTTGAGAGGAACCAAGACTCAGAAGGGGAACCCATCCTCCTCTGGTCGACACCAGATAACAAACAGCGTTAGTATAAAATATTATAATACAAAACGGAGAAAAACAGGTGGAGCAATGATTAATTAGATTAGTTTGAGTTTATGCAGCAGCAGCATCATCAGTTCATGCAGGTGAGGTTTGCACAGCATTGGACAGCGAGAAGCTCCATAGTGGTCAAATCAGTCCAGAAGGCTGGCGAGCAGTGGCACCTGATCAAAGAAGAAGCAACAGCATCAGACGCACAGGATGGGCAGCTGTTCAGTTCAGCAGAGAAAAAAGAGACACACAGAGAGTCAGTTCTGTAAAGAGTGACTGACTTGTGGGGGGAGCTGGAGCCTATCCCAGCGGTCATTGGGCAGGAGGCAGGAAACACCCTGGACAGGTTGCCAGTCCATCACAGGCCAGGCACACAGACAAAGATTCACACCTAGGGGCAATTTATTGTCTCCAATTCACATGTGGATTGTGGGAGGAAACCCACACAGACACCGGAGAACATTCAACCTCCACGCAGAAAGGACCCTGGCCGCCCTGCCGGGTGTGAGGCGACAGCACTACCCACTGTGCCACCATGCTGCCCACAAACAGAGCATAGCAGTGCCTTCAATCTGCAGACTGAAAGAGCTCTCAAACAGAAAACCACTTGTTTGTAAGTGTCAGTTCCACCATATCATATAATAAATTGAGCAGGATGACCACCGTCACCACCGTCAACAATAGGTCATCGCGTCAACAACAGGTTTCAATAGAAGGATTTGAAACTTTCTCACCACTACTACTTTTCTCACGAAATGTGGTGGTCATGAGAAATTTAGGCCTAACAGCACTTTTGAAATGTGGTGGTTGTGAGAAATTTAGGCCTAACAGCCCTTACGAAATTTCGTGGTCGTGAGAAAATTGAGCCTAAGAGCACTTTCGAAATGTGGTGGTTGTGAGAAATCTATGGTTAAGAGCTCTTTCTGTCCTGTAGTTTCAAATCCTTCCATTGAAACCTGCTGTAGAATAGTAGAAGGGGGTGTAAATTTGCTGTGTACCACCTGTTTTACAGTCTAACCTGACATGTGGAAAAACAAGCCCTTTGAGTCTGTTACAGAATAGACTCTGAGATACAGAGTAAGATTTAAAGTGGTGCAGGAGCAGCATATTTATTTCATATGCTGCAGCGATATGAGCTGAGCAGAACTCTCAGATCATTAGGAACTGGTCAGTCAGTCCTGCCGAAGGTGAAGACTAAACATGGAGAAGCAGCGTTTCGATACTATGCTGCCCTTAAATGGACCCAGTGGACAGAGAGCATTAGAAGATCCCGACACTGGACACTTTAAACCAGCCTGAAAACGTTCATATTAGAGCAGCTTTCAGCTCAGTTTAAACACTGTTAGTATTTCTAGACCCCTTTTCCTCTGTAACGGCACTTTTTTAATCCTAATCTAACTTTTAATTTTCAATTTGATTATTTAACTCTCCTAATTTAATTTCTAATCTGATTTTTAATTTAATGATTTTCTCTTTATTTATCATTTTAATCATGTTTCAGTTATGTGTTTAATGTTGTTTTCAATTATGTATTTCTATTCTAACATTTCTGTTTTGTCTGATTCTGTATTTTCTCATTTGTGAAGCATTTTGATTGACAGCAGTGTATAAGAGGTGCCTTATAAATAAACTTACCTTGCCTTTCTGGACTAAAAAAGCAAAGACTTAGTAATAAAGCCTGCAGATAAGGGTGGCGGCTTGGTATTCATGCCTTATATAACCAGGAAGTGCTTTCCCAATTACAGAGTGCACCCTTTTAGAAATTTTTTACTATCTGATGGAATAAAACGATTTTTAAAAGAGAAACTGAAGTGTTCCTTGGAGATGCACGTCCTCAATCTGTGATTACAGATAAGGAGTTGCAATGTGTGTTTAATAGATCCTGCGCAAAGCCTGTATTTCATATTTTGCTTGAATTTCACAAAGATTCAGTCAGTCCTGCTGGCCGTCCTAGAGTGGCAGGTAACAGCAGAGTGACTGAACCTCTTTCCAGTGTTGTGGATTTTGTCTTAAGGCCTTTAGTGGCATCACTTCCTAACTATCTCAGAGACTATTTTTACAGCGCTTATCCTCCTTACGTGGCCATGGGCCGGCCAGCGGGCCTAAAGCTTTATTACACACTTCCATAAACTAAGAATAGCTCAGTTTGCATTGAAGTCCCTGTAGT